TGGTTTAGGACCAGGTACCCTTTGTGATGCTGTGTGCCTCTCCCTCCCTAATTTTTTGAGACAAGCTCTCGTTGTGTTGCCCAGGCTGGTCTCAAACTCCTGGACTCAAGAGATCCTCCCCCTTCGCTTCCCAAGGTGCTGAGATTGTAGACGTGAGCCACTGTGCCCAGCCGATAATTTTTTTTTTAAAGCAGGATTTATTGAGAGGACAAAAAAGCTCCCACAGTAGCAGGGGACCCGAGGGGGTTGCCCCGATAATTTTAATAATTACAATAATACCAGTCATTCTAATAGTGAGTGGCTGTTATTATTCAAGCCTGGGACTGTATCAAGGAAGCCCTGGGTTTTTTGAGTTAGAGTCTCACTTTGTCGCCCAGGCTGGAGGGCAGTGGCGTGCTCACGGCCACTGCAACCTCGACCTGCTGGACTCCACAATCCTTCCCCTTAGCCTTCCAAGTAACTGAAACTACAGATGTGTGCCACCACACCCGGCTAATTTTTTGATTTACTGTAGAGATGAAGTCTCGCCAACTTGCCCAGGCGGGTCTCGAACCCGCGGGCTCAGGCAATCCTCTCACCTCGGCCTCCCAAAGTACTGGGATTATAGGCGTGAGCCACCACGCCTGGCCAAAGAAGCATTCTGTAATGCGTGACTGTATTTGGTCCTTGCCTTGTCCCCATAAAGAGGCGTCATTAGCTTTTTACAAACATCAGCCTGAGCCGCAGAGAGATAAAAGTCTACAAAGCTGCAGCACCACGAAGCCGGGATTCAAGCCCAAGTTTGTTGGGCTCTGACCCAAGAGCCAATACTAGATCATCAGAGAGCTCGACTCCCGGGAGCACGAGGTGCCCTTGTCCCGGAGTCCTGAGGTGCAGCTCGCAGTGGCCAGCAGGACTCCTTCCGGCCCAGGGAGTGTGACAAAGCCCTCATGGGCCCAGGGGACACACACATGGTCCAGCCTCACAATGATAGTTCCCTCCCAGAGCGGCACGAGGAACAGGCTGATCCTTTGTGACACCGTGTTATTCGCAGTTTCAACTCAATAGAACATTCCAAACGTCTCTGGTGCTCATTTGAAGCCTTAGAACAACCTGTGCCTGCCAAAGCCTGCTTATCTTGGTAGAAGCCCCGAACTGCGAATAGGTGGCTCTTGGCAGCACTGTTGTGACAGCAGAGATGGTGTCATCAGGGCCAGCAAGCACTGCCCAAGGTTGGCTCGGGTCACCCAGGAGTGTAGTTGGAGGGTCTGGCTCTCAGGGTTGCAGTCGTCCAGTGACACCCTCATCACCAGCAGATGGAGGACGTGGGAATCACATGGCTGCCACGCTCTGGGGACAGACTCCCCTGAGAAAGTCTCAGAGAGGCCAGGCGCGTTAAAAGCTCCTTTTCATGAATCAGGCTTGCATTTTCCTTTTGTCCTTAATTAAGGAGAATTAATGACACTGTGTTGTCACTATCGAGAGTCACTTTGAAATAATTTTATCTGGGTCTGCAGCCTTACATTGGGTTCCTGACTTTACTGGCAAGAAAAGTGGCGGTGTTTGGCTTGAGCCCTGGGCCGGGGTTGCCTGGTGACCCGTGGCCGGTGAGTCGATATCATCGATCTCAGTTTCCTCATCTCAAAGTTGGGCTTCCAGCACCCACTCCACAGGGTCATGGAGGAGATGGTCCCATGGGGAGCGGGGGTTTCCCACATGAGGCCTCACGCGTAGCAGGCGTTCGATAAATGCCAGCTGACGAGTCACACTCCATGGAGACACTGCCTGCATCGAGTGGATGTGCCTGGCCTTGGGCTGGCGGCTGTCGTACAGGTGGGGTCTAACATGGGGATATTCGGTGAGATTTCACATGCACTGTAAGGCTCTCCTGGCCCACCTTGAGAGGGGCTCGGGATTACAGACCTCACAGCCAGCTCGTGCAGACGTGGCTCCTATGAAATCCACCCCGCCGGCAATTTAAATAGAAAACCTGTCCTGTGATCATGCCCACTTCGCGAGAAATGCGCACCTGTGAAGTCACCAGCCCCATGGGCCACACTGTGGATTCTGGGGGGTCTCCAGCCTCGTGGGCCACACCGCGGGTTCTGGGGGCTTCTCCAGTCCCGTGGGCTACACCGCGGATTCCCAGGGGGCCCTCCAGCCTCGTGGGCCACACTGTGGATGCGTGGGCGAGGGGGCCAGGGGACCTGGAGACGGGAGGTCTTCTCCAGCCTGACCGGCCACACCGCGGACTCCCGGTGCAGTTCCAAGAGTCTACCACCAGGGGCCGCTCCCATCCAGCCCGCACCCGGCATGAGCCTCCCTCGGGCCTCCTGTCCAGAAGGCTTGGCTGATGGCAGTCATCCTTGTACCAGGCCCTCTTAGAAGCGCTGGCGCTTTCTGGCTGCCCCTCTTGGTGTCTGCTCACGACGAGGCTGTAAGACACAGCTGTCTTCTGGGCATCTTGTGGGATTCCTAGGTCCCAGCCCAGGACGGTCGCATTCCAGACAGGACCCTTGGGCAGGTGCAGTGACAGGTGCCGCCCATGGAGGGGCCACTGTCCTGGGGCTCCCGAAGAGGAGTGTCCGTTTGTTTTTGGTTTTGAGACAAGTTCTCGCTCTGGCGCCCAGGCTGGAGCACAGATCACGGCATACCACAGCCTCTACCTCCTGGGCTCAGGCAATCCTCCCACCTCAGCCTCCCAAGTAGCTGGGACTACAGGCACATGCCATCACACCCGGCTAATTTTTAATTTTTTTTTTTTTTTAGAGATGGGAGTCTTGCTATGCTGCCCAGGCTGATATTTGTGAAGTTTTATGTGCTTCTTGATGGAAGAGCTATTTCTGCCTGTTTTTAAAAATTGAGATATAATTCATCTGTGCATATTTAAGGAGAATAGATGTTTACTTGTAGGCCGGGCTTGGTGTCTCAGTCTGTAATCCCAGCACTTTGGGAGGCCGAGGCGAGTAGATTGCCTGACCCCGCAGGTTCAAGACCAATCCGGGCAACTTGGTGAGACCTCATCTCTACAACAAATCAAAACATTAAAATAAAAAAGTTTGACCGGGCTCGATGGCTCAGCCTGTAATCCCAGCGCTTTGGGAGGCCGAGGTGAACGGATTGCCTGAGCCCGCGGGTTCGAGACCTGCCTGGGCAACTTGGCGAGACCTCATCTCTACAATAAATCAAAAAATTAGCCGGGTGTGGTAGCGCGCGCCTGTAGATCCAGCTACTTGGAAGGCTGAGGCGAAAGGATCGCCGGAGCCCAGCAGGTCGAGGCTGTGGTGGCTGGGAGCAGCTACTGCACTCCAGTCTGAGCGACAGAGTGAGACG